CCAAGGTAAATAAGATTTAAAAAAAATATTTTAATAAAGTTTCTCATGCTCAACAAAGCTGCATTTACTTGATAAGCAACCGAATAAAGAACAGTATTACAATTTTAAATAGTTGTCTATTTGAATATATTTTAAAATGTAATTTATTCCTGTGATCAATGCTGAAATTTCAGTCTTCAGTGTCACATGATCATTCTAATATGTTGATTTGCTGCTCAAGAAAGTATCCTTGCTGAAAAAAACCCACAATTAATTTCTTTCAAAAAAAGGTAATGCTTTTGAATGGTAATATATATAAAAACAACAACAACCAAAATTAATAAATGCTGTAAAATTGTTGTAGATTTTTATTAAGTGATTGTATTAAGCAATGTTAGGACCTAATGTAAAATGTCACATCAGACCATGACTGTAGTCAGCTATGAGATCACCGAGAACTGGACCTTGGTAAATGTTCAAACATAAAATTTGTTCTCAGAATGACTAATTTGCTGTTCACAACTCCTCATACGAGTGTCTGCATGTATAATTAACTTTAGACAGTTTGCAAGAATGTTTCGTGTCAGTGGTATGAAAATGATTGCTGTGGGACGCTGGCGGAGTGAACGAGGTTTGAGAGAGGGCGTGGGCACAGCCTCCACCGTGTTGCCAGTTCCAGCAATTATAAGCGTCTTTTGACTTGTCTTTACTGCTTAATTTGACGCTTTAGAAAGTTAATAAAGTGCGAAGTTGCAGTTTAAGGTTAGCTTTGTTTTATCGTATTTACAAATGAACTCATTACAGTTTATTCTTTTATTTTATTTTTTTATTTGTTTTCATAGCAATATCTGGCAACACTGCATCACCGGCACTAAAACTGACAGTAATCAAAAAAGCCCATGGACAGGATTCCACATTCAGTATGGCAAACTCAAAAAACATCATGATATTATCTGTCAATAACCTTATTAACGCTATCAAAAAGCATTTAACACTAGTACACAGATCTGTAGAGCAAGTAGGTTGCAGAATGAATGAAATATGCAAACACTAGCCATGAAGAAGTCTATGCTATTTCATTCAGTATAGTAGTTAAATTTTCACAAAATCAAGCTACAAAAAATCATAAGTGCACTAGACAAAGTAATCATCTATAAAGCAATGGTTATTAATGAAAACTGTAACAGTGGCTAATATGTGACCCTGGAGCACAAAACCAGTCATAAGTAGAATGGGGATATTTGTAGCAATAGCCAAAAATACATGGTATGGGTCAAAATTATACATTTTTCTTTTATGCCAAAAATCATTAGGATATTAAGTAAAGATCATGTTCCATGAACATATTTTGTAAATTTCCTACCGTAAACTTATCAAAACGTAACTTTTGATTAGTAATTTGCATTGCTAAGAACTTCATTTTGACAACTTTAAAGGCGATTTTCTTAATATTTAGATTTTTTTTTTTTGCACCCTCAGATTCCAAATTTTCGAATAGTTGTATCTCGGCCAAATATTGTCTTATCCTAACAAACCGTACATCAATAGAAAGCTTATTTATTCATGATGCATAAATCTCAATTTCTAAAAATTTACCCTAATGACTGGTTTTGTGGTCCAGGGTCATTGGACCCAACAATATGCATCGTTGCATGAATAATTATCCACCCCTAACCTATAGTAAAGTATTAACAAATTTTATGCAATCAATATGGTATAATTTAACAATGTTTATCCCTCCAAAACAGAGAAAACATCTTTCACAAACATCTACATGTCTGTCTGTTTTAAAGTTTTTAGGGTATATAATGAGTTGTATTTGTAGGGGCTATTATAGCACAGTTCTTAACCCCACCCCAGACCTCACTAATTTTCAAAGCCTGGCTACGGCCATGCATCAGACGTCCATGGCATGTTAGATATATAATGATAGTGAATGACAGATGCAAGGTGAAGAGATCATGAGAAACAAAGGACAAAGGCATGAGCGTCTCCACTATCTACCGAAGCAGCTTGAGACAGCAGAACCTTTAAACACACATGTGAATGTTTGCACAAGAGCTTCAATTGACCCCGTCTGCGTCGAACGGGTCGTACTATCAGAAAGGGGCCATCGGCGGTGTGCGCACGCAGCTGAGATCCGATCCGCGGACGACCAGCTGCGCTCTGACAGGATGCAGAGCCGATCCAGATGTGCATGAAACGCTGGAGATGACAACAGTGCTTTTCACAAAGCACTTGTTTTATTTTCCTCTGGATCCTCCTCGCGGTCACCCGGGATGGGCTCGGATAACTATCCGCTTCCAGCACTTGTCCAAATACGGGTCCTGCCCAACTAATGGAAACACAAATGCGCCTCCAGATCAGATACATATGTGAGCGCGCGTGTGTGTGATCGTGCACATCTGCGTAGTAGTGCAGGCGTACTGTGCTTTGCTCCCAAAAATACCAATAATCCCAATGATAATAAACTGCGTGTTTGTGTTCATGTGAACATGTATGTTTGCTCAAGTGTTATTGATGGACAGTGCATGTGACCCCGTGCTTCCAGACCGTCCCGTGACCCCCACCGCCCCGGCGTCGCTGGCCCAGCGTGTCGTACGTTGACTGGGGTTCGACTGGGAGAGGAGCCCTGGCAGGGCCACAGGATCCAGCCCCCACTCATCTGGGGGCCAAGGACAATGTTTGAACACCTGCCCACGGCTCTCAGGAGCGAGGGGAGGGCTTGTTATTCCCTGCAAAGTATCAAAGTCTAGTTTACTCTCGAACAAACCGTACGCATGTAAACTCTGTCCGCGTCTGTCATCCGGACAAACGTCGAGCCACAGTTGCTGACTGAGTGAATTTTGAGTGCGTGTTCAAAATGAGCAATATGTTTAAGCATATGGCTGTGTGAAGATGAAACCAGCCAATCAGATTCCTCCATCTGGTGTGATCGTGAGTTTGTCATGATTGTTCATGCATGTGTTATGTGTGTCTCCAGGGTCCAAAATGAACACTCATCAATTAACATGATGTTCTGGAACTACAGTGCTATATGGTATAAATTGTAAACTGATAGCCTGACCATCGTAAACGTAAGAGAAGCTGCGTATACTGTTCTACTTGTCTATGTCAGCCGCACCACACGGATATGTTTTCTACGTTTATTTACGCTTTGATTTGAACGAAAACAGCGTATCCGTGTGGTGC